GGGGGGGGGGGGGGGGGGGAGGTTGAATTGAATGATCAATTATTAGAACCGGACTCGCCGACACTTGCTTCGCAAGTCAAACTCAAGGTATCCCCTAAAGGGCTACCTTTCGTGACATAACAAACACCAAATTATCCACGCTACTGTTCGGATGCTGCATACGGGGTAACTTGTGACTGTGAAGGCAAACAACCTCCGGGCCTAGGGTTGCTTCAGTTCCAAGTACCCTCCAACAGCTTCCAATGTCGGATCACTGGCAGCTAAAAGGCTATCTTTCCATTCGGCAGCCATCGAGTCGATGCCAATATTGTAGTTGCAAAGCTGTGTAGAGCCCATGTAAGCTGCAAAGTAGTCCCCCAAGATTTCTTTGAATTCACCTTGGTCCAGTTTCCAACGCCACACCAGGATGGATGGAAGAAGTCTGCAAGGTGATGAATGAATGCAAGAAATGCCCGAACTCGTCAGCAGGCGACTACAGTTTCATGTAACACATCTGCGAAAATACCTCTCAAGTCAATTCAAGCGCAGAACATCGCGTGACATCTCATTGCAAGTTCTATTATATATCACCATTGGTGCTACTGGAGGTCAACATAAGACGGATGTCAAACTGTCCCAAACGTCACAACCCGCTTCTGCCAACGCAACTGTTGTGCTTTCGAAAGCAACTGTTGTGCTGATGAGCCGAGGACCTGTGCTTTGATAGAAAGCCAGCAGCCAACATCCCCAAGGGCCCCCCAACATCCCCAACCACCCTGTCTCTACCCACTCTGTAGTTTGGTAAGTACCCATCCAGCTCACCCTTCTCTCACCCAGTTGCCACTGCTAAAGCAGTACGTGCAAGTACCCATCCAGTTTCTCCAACCCCCTTTCTCATCCAGCTGCCACCGCTCAAACCGACCGCTCCCATGTAGTCCAAGCGGCAAATCATGTAGTCCACGGCCTCGGAGATATAACTTTCCAGCTTGTAGACGTTCCTGGCTGATCACCGGGTGTGTAAGACAATGTATCTACATGCAAACTACATGGTGACATATGCAGTCAAGGCCTCTCTCTCTCTCTCTCTTTCTCTCCCCATCGCCCTCTCCAAGAGTTAACCATTTGGCTAAGGCGAGATCAAGCCCCGGTCAGTAGTATTTTAATCCAATGCAGGACCCCTCAACCAAAGAAACCTAAAGAACTGCTTACATATATAAACATATTCTCTTTCAGTTTCTCTGAACATCAAAAGACTAACAAATAGTCCGTATATGAATCCCCTGTTTCTCCCGCGAACACGGATCGGTTCGCATGGCCATTCTAAAACCTCGAGCACTCCACACACACCGGGGGGTGTTGGCATCACACAGATCTGGTCTGTTCCACCAAAAGCCACAGGAGTGCAAGGATACCCCTCTCAGTGCGGGTTTTTGGTCGGCCACAGAGTGGCCGTTCTGAACTGCCACGAGGAGGTCTCCGGCTCACCACCGAGGTTCCAAGCTGCGCTGTCGGGTTCCCCGGCTTCCATCACGCCCAGGACACCATCCATGACGCCCGCGCCCACGTAGCCCCAGCCGGACATGGTGATGAACCCGTTGTCAATGAACTTGCTCCGAAACGCGGACCTGGCGGGAAACCGACGGAGTTCGTGCGACCATCCCATCGGTATATTTATATGTTTGTGCATATCGATATCTTCTATATAATATTAATCTACCATCGCCATCAAAATGTTGGATGTTGACTCGGAAGTGAACCAGGGTCTGAATTGATGCTCGCTGGCACAGGCCAGCGAGGACGTCCTAAGCACCTCCTAAGCATGTTCCTCCTGAGCATCTGAGCGATCTAATGATGCAGTGACACATCCACAGCTTCTTCAGCCACCTTCAAAGTTCTTGAGCCCAGCATTGCCCCGCTGTCCAAGCTTGAATGCGAAGCAAATCCTCCTCCCCTGGGGCCTATGATGAACAAGAAGGTGATGCGGATTAGAATAGGAAGAGCATTGCCTGACCCAATGTTAAGATGTTCCAATATTGAATTGTTAAAGGCAAAGCCACAGGCGTACCCAAACAATCCCGTATTCACACTGCCTTCTGCGAACCCCCTTCTACGAACTTCTGTGAAGGCAAATGGGTTTGCATGAACCCTCGGGCAGCACAAGAAGTCTTCTACGACCCCCACAGGGTCGGCACGAACCCCACATGGGTCGGCACGAACCCCCTATAAAGACCTCCACGTTTCGCTCTGCGAACGGCAATCCAGTCCACATAATTCCGTTCGTTTTGCCGTAAGTTGTTCTTTTCTTCGACCAGGTCTACCGCAAGGTCTCCCAGGTCAAAAAGTGCACATGTGGCTGTGAAAGCCCCGTCGCCAAGCCACATGCCACCTTCCGCGATGGCGGTAATCGCGCCCGCGGTGTCATAGCTGCCATCAGGCTTTTCGGGTCGGGGCCTCTTTCCGGCACAAGGATTGCCTGGGAGCGGCCAAATCGGACGGACGGGGGCGTGTAGATGTAGGGCCTACGCCGTACATGAAGCTGGAATCGTTAGGGGGGTCTTTGGGTGCAAATGAGGTGGTCTTTGGAGTGACGGGCTGCTCAAACTCCCTCAGGTCCTTCCATAGCCCCGGCAGGGGAAGGTGTTTGGAGGGAAGTTGTGAGCCACGCACAAGCACCACTGTTGCCTCAGCAGTTCAGTCACAGGGATGCACAGGGAAATTTCCACCCAAATGACGGTCTTGGAAAAAGTCCATGATGCATATTGTGTCAGTGACAGTGATCACAGTGATGCGTCGATGAGTAGGGTTCCATCTTCACTCGGGACCTGCGCCATCTTGTCCATTCGATAGAGTCTAATTAGAGTCTAATTATCATGAAAAACATCATGATGGCCTCATGTCAGCCCTGGCTACGGTACATATATATCAAAGTACTTTGATTGCTGTATATATATAATATTTACTAGCTGTAATTCTCACACAACGAAGAATGTGCACATCACGAAACACACTGCGACGCACCCTTCTCTGCAAGGTATAGTCTACCATGAAGTTCCACTTTTCTATACCTGCCCACTTCGGGAAAAAAGAACAAATAACACATCCAAGTGGATCCGAGTGGCATTTATCCGTGTCCTTTTGGCAATACATGCCATCGGTGTTATGATGGGGCTGGCTGCCGCTGCACCAGTCTGGCCCAACATTACGCCGCCGTGAGGTACACCAGTCGACCCTCCCTCAGCTCCGCAGCGAAAAGCGTAGAGCTAAGTGCTGCAAAACGAAACCTCGTGGGGGGAAGGTGGATTTTCTCGTCCAAATGTCTCTTGAACTTGTTGCTTTGAATGCTTTTGATTGCAAGAAACTGAAGGACATTGAGATGGATGGATTCGAATCACCCGATTCCTTCCTTCGAAACATCGGAGACGTGGTTTTACGTTACGGGCTTCGCCGGCCTCCACCCCCGGATTCGACGAAGACGACGTGTGGACCTCCCGTGGTGGCGGTGGACTTTTACAGCCAAAGGATGAGCCGGCTTTGCCAACCCCTGAGAACCAAAAACAATACAGAACAGGCTACCACCAGCGTGCGCAATACAGTGTCTTTGTGAGCATCTGTCAGCTGTGAGCATCTGTGAGCATCTGCTTCAAGACTGTCGACCGCCCGCGTGGCTCAGGTGTTTTTCCTCTCAGAATTCGTAGAGAAGGACAAGCATGGACAACCACCCGTAATTGTTTAAAGGAGTCTCGGACGAGATTTCTCCACAATCTATACTATCCTAATTCTGGCTACAGTTGCCGGATGTGCTCCGTGTTCGCTGTCACACAGCGCTCCGCTCCTGGACTTTGACGCGCCCGATCCGGCGCAAAGCCGACCTGGTCCTGGCTCGGCCTTTTTGTTGTTAGTTTTGGACGGACCCTGACCTGCGAGCCGCTCCTGCTGAGCGCTTGCGATTGCCCGCCCGAGATATACTATCCTAATTCTAATATATTCTAATCTATACCTCTTGTAGCCGAAGCAGGGAATCTTAGAACCAAAGAAGCACGTAAAAAGGGTTCTACCTTCCAACCGGTGTTGGAACCTGAACCCCGCACAGATTGCGGAGCCCCTACTCACACCCCTGGTCAGTGACCGGTTGACCTCCCAGGTAGTGTATTTGGTTCATGTTCGGTGGGAAAAGCCAGGGTGTCATGATCCACAGCCAGATCCTGTCCTTGAAATTCAATCGGCTGACCCTCAACATCTGGTGAAAAGGGATGTACGATGATACACGGTCTTTGGATCCTGCAGATCCTTCTCCAAGAGGGCTGACGATGGCACAAGTAAATGACCACAGACATCCACAGACTGAAACCCATGGAACGGTATAAACCGAATACTTATGCTTGCGCCATGCGCACATGATGACCTACAAAAACGGACCATTCTTAGACACTCATCCTGATCGGGCACTCCAAACAGCGCAGTTCCGATTAGAGAAGTGGTCCTCTCAGTGGAGGGCCTTTGGTAAAGCAGCAGCTGCTGTGAAAATACATACTAGGTGATCGCATATATAATGGGTCATAATGATACAATTCCTAATCATATACAAATATAGTGATGCCCAATAGAAACAGTTTCCAATACATTCAACGGGGGGGGCTGTTCTATGTATTTTCAGACCAAACCCTTGAATTTTCAAGGGTTCTGAAGGACAAGGTAATATATATATTATAATATAATATAATAGTATATTATAATATAGTGCATGGCAATCGCCAGGATGCTTCATTTCCTGTTGCCCCAGGAAGTTGCTACACCAAACCACCAGGAGGTGGCTGGCCTTCCAGGTGGGGTCCTGAGATCATCTCGCCCGCGGTCGCCGGCTGGACTGGCGACCCCAACCGCCCACCTTGGCCGTGCCCAGCGGCATTTCTTCGTCCATGTCGGACATCAGGTCTGCCTCTTCCTCAGCGAGTGGGCACTCTTGAATGAAGATGTCAAGCAACCCTTTGGACGAATCAAAAATGGGTCTCTCTTGACAGCTTCTTGACGTGACGGTTTTCGAGGGGGCCCCTCACTTGTGAAGACGATCCGAGCCCAGGCGCCAGCTCTCCACTGCGGTTCTGCCTTGCGCGCAAGCTCAGGAGACATTGCTCCTCCCGGTGTCCAGACTTGGAGGGAGAAGACGTCTCCGAAAGCGTGGAATACAGGGCCGCAGTCCAAAGGAGGCGGAAAGCCATGGCTCCGGGGTGGGATGTGAGCCAACTTGACTGCAGAAAAGGGGTCTATAGAATCTCATAGACGTATACAGGCACAAATCCACTATGCGCATGAATCATCTTCTATGTAGGCGTTGGGCTTCTGAAGCCTGAGCGAGAGACCTATATCGAATCATTGCCAATTCAATATCGAAACTGTGGTGACAAAAACACAAAATTGTGGGCCTCTTCCAAAGCTCCTTGGCCACACCAGCAGTGCTTCACCACTTCTTTGCCACTCGCCACGGTGAGCGCCTGGTGAGGAAGCCTCGTCGGTCATCAGCCCGAAAGCGTTCAAATACCTGGCGTTTCGCTCCAGGTTCCAACGAGGATCCGGTTCCAAGCAGGATGAAACGGAAGAAGCTGGGCCATCCACTTCGGCAGGATGGCAATGGGCACTTTCTCTTCGGCATTTTGCTAGCATATGTCATGTGAAGTCATGGTGGTTTTCTCTGCTCAAATCCATTGGTTTGCGGGTCTCTTTTAAATACACTTCGGTCGAGTGTGTCTATATACATTGACGCACCCACTTGCCGTGCTTTGTCAATGTCAGTGGGTACAAAGCCCCCCCCTGTGAACCACAGATATATATATATATATAATTATATATATCCCGTGAACCATTTGAATCACCACGGAGAGAAAAGGCGACAAAAGAAAGTAGGGGCCTCCCCCGTTCCGTGGGAAGCTGTAAGGATCAGCTACCTTTTGAACGGGTAGCCCAACCTTTGAGGCCGAATGGAGAAAATATGCCCATCGGGAGTCTGAAGGGACCTCCATATACGTCAAAATACCAACGGCATCGCTACTAGGAGCAAGAAGCTATACTACCGTAGATGGACGAAATATTCAAACCCTGTCAACCACGAGGACCCCTTCTACCCCAAAGCTCAATGTTAGAGGTCTTGCAAGAATGTTTCGGCGAATGGACGAAACAAATCAAACCCTGGAAACACAAATTCAATCAAGTTATGTTCAACATTGACCTTTGGGGG